TCTCGGAAAAATCGAAAATTTTTTTTTGTTGTTTATTATTAGAAATGTTCTTCCGACGTCTGATTTCTTTTTAAAAAATGCGTTTCTAAAGTGCATAAACTTTTGGGATTGACTGTATAGCCAATACATCCTTAAGAAGAGGAGATCTCTGATACAATATCACATTTCTTATCGTAACAAATACCAGAAGGGTCCGAAACATTTGTATACTGCAACGTGATCACGACCACTAATAAACAAGCTACTGTTCAGCTACTATGCAAGTAGCAAAAGCGATAAATGGTTATCCTGGTGTCTGTTTCAGATTCGGTATGGATAAGAACGAATGCGCCCGTTACATATCTACCCTTTCGTTGCACGGTACCCCATTGAGCTCCGCTTGCTCGACTTCTGGTCCGAGCATGATCTGTAACCCGAAGGCCAAGTACCGTACCATGGACGGCACTTGCAACAACCTTGAAAATCCGAGCTGGGGTAGTGCGATGACCGCGTACAACCGATTACTCTTCCCCCAATATTTCGACGGTAAGCTTTCACTTCCGTGAAGGAGACGATGGAAGGGCTTGTTTACCATAATTTATCAGTCTCGCTCTATTCATTTTTGCCCGCGGTATGAAAATCCCGTATTATATCATCGGTTTGTTCGAATCGGTTTTAAAACTGGGCACGATCGTAATATCGCGTCGCGTATACCGAATTAACACGCGGGTATTCGATGCTGGCGAGGAGACACGCGTCGCTTTCGGTCTGTTCGAAACGAGGTTCGAAACGTAGATTCCAGTCTCGGTACCGTGGTGTCGTCGTTATTTTTATGGAAATAATAATCGTAAAATTATTTGCAGCCTCTGAACGCTTGGCGCTTCCTTGTTCTCCTTCCACGCGTCCACCCTCTACCTTTTCATTACTTATTATTCTCGTTGTTCGATCGGTCAATCGTATGATAGATTTCTTTGATGAATAATTTCTCGTGTCGTGATTTCAATTCAGTTCTCTTTTTATTTTATTTTTCGAGATCACATATTGGTTTCATATCGGGGATGTTCGTCTGCATGAATGCAGATGGCTGGTTAGATAAGGTGAATACTCGTGTTACGACACAATGGGGTGTGTTCATATCAGTTGGCATTGAGTGATGCACGTAACGACTGGAATGTGGTCTTTGTAAAGTATGGATATGGATTCTTTATCAATAATCGTATTGGGTGTCCCAGAATTATTTTTAGTACCACTAATGAAGTCATATTTTATTGAACATACTTGACAGAGAGTAAAGTGTTATTTGAAGATAATTCTTGTCGAACGAAATCAAAGACTAAACGCGAAAGACTTTTTCTACCATTCTTTCGATTAATGTTATTAAAAGTAGTTGTCAGACGTTACACTTGTATAAAATCAACGCGTTTTGTTCATTGGTTCAAAGAAGAGAGGTCGAGACCTCAGATAAAGCCAGTGCGTCATTCTCGATTCGTGGAACGTATCTGACAAGATACGGGATTTGCAAAAAATAAAACTGCATACGTGTATATTCTTAAAGATTTATGCTTTCATAGCGTTCAGACTCTAGTATCAAACTAGATATCAGCATAACATAAAATGCATAAATTTTTTAATATGCTATTTTTCTAAAGTTTTATTTAATTACATGAAGGAATTAAATATCCATAAAAGTTGCTCTCACAATTCTAGGACATCCAGTACATTCTCTTGGGATTTTGTTATTGACGATGACGCTGATGTCTGACCGAATGATTTCATCGCTCTCGATTGAACTTCGATCGATCATTTCTCACTTTACAAGTTTTTCGTATAATTACATCTGGCACTTAATCGATCGTTCATCGTTCGATTTGTTCATCGTTACTTTTCGTTCGTTAATTTTCTCGACGAAATAACAAGAGACTAAATGTGCTTCTGTTTCGTGTCTCGAAATCGAAGCTGCAGCTGTGCGGCGGCGTTACGTTACCAGCCTCGACCTACTAACCCACCTACTCCGCTCACAGAACACCTTAAGCATAAAAGCATATATTATCTATACGTATCACGAACACACGACGGAACACGAAAAGTATACATGCACACGCATACGACACGAGACGGACGGAAAGTTAGAATACAAAGTCTATGCACATACGAAAAGAAAGAAAAAACGAACACACTCTCTGATCCCTGGGCGCTAGTGGATTGAAAGAAAAAAAAAAAAAAAAAGAAGTTCGTCGATTGGCTTAACAAATTATATTCTGTGATTTACATTACAGTTGTTGTGCGATAAGGCACATAGAGCATAAAATGCCTGAGTGTAGCAGTGAATAATACTGCCTACAATAGGGTGCCCCGGTCGGGAGATTCTATCCAGCAGTAGAATGTGTATGTAAACTAATTCGGATATACCTAATAATGTATCATACTTATTATTGTAACACTAGTTCAAATACTTTCTGTTGTTTGCGGTACACGGGTCTCGTTAAAGGTGTCCGAGACAGGCGAATGAGAATTGGGAGTCATTCGCGTTCCTCATTTCATTCCATCAAGTTGGTCTTGCGTTTAGTACACGTCCCGAAAATAATATCCAAGCATGCTGAATAAAAACAACCGAGCAAATTGTCCTGTTCAAAACTGGTTTAGAAAACAGTTTCCAGATATGTACTAAACTATGCATATCGGCTTGCACTAATAATACTCGTTTAGAATTTATCGAACGCGTGACAGGGATGTTCGTAAGACAGATCTTTGTTGAGGATCATCTCCCAGTTTAATTCTCTCACTTGGGCACCTTCATCAGCCATTTAGATAAGTCACAAGTGACTCTGTAAGCGTTCTCGACGTTGTTCGTTATTTTAGCAATCATCAAAGAGAGTTCAATAAAAAACAGAGAATTGTTCGATGAGAACGTTTGGAATAAAATTCGTACTCACGTGTTTCGTCGAAAACGCATCAGAACATCATGTCCTAAGATAAATGTAGGTTTAATTAGAGGATAAATGTATTTTGTAGCGCGAGAGTAATCGTTTTTCGGTTCGGCGTCCAGAGATCAATCAGCATTGGGACACGCGACGAGAGGAATAGAGAATAATTTATTGCAAAAGAAAATATATTTACTTTGATATCGAATACTGATTGGTCTCTGATAAGTGAGGCAGGTTTAGGCGCGGTTAGGTTCAAGATTTGTCGTACGGAGGGATTCGCGTGATAGACGTTCAGAATGGAGCACGCCATGAATAGATTGCTCTCTCTCGCGCTGCACACACATCTTAATTCATAAGCACAGGCGGCAAACATTCTCGTCGAAATCGGAGTAATTAAGATTTTTCAACATTCATATCAGTACTTCAATATGATGTTATTTAAATGGAAACGTGTAACAGCTACATATGTTATATCATGATAGAGATAAGGATAAGAATAATTAAATGAAATCGATTTTGAAACGTAGCGTATATTTACTCCGATTTGACGATGCACAGGGAAATGAATATGTAGACTAATTTTTGATTTGGCGATCAGGGATCCAAGAACCGAGGCACATCGGGCAAACGAAAAAACCGCTGCCAGGTGCCAGGTCCGTGAGTGTGGCTCTGTCAACTCCTAACAATCAAGTGGATACCAGTCGAACGTTGGCGGTGATGCAGTGGGCACAATTCATTGCGCACGACATTTCTTACACTCCAGTGCGAAAAACGAGTAGGTGTTCAATTGTTTTTTTTATTAAACTGAGCTCTTTTAATGATGCAGCAGTTCGAGCTGTGTCGAAATTTCGAAAGTTTAGCAGGAATTTGAATTTAATATCTTATTTCACTTGGATTTATAGTATCTACCGGGAAACCGATCTCTTGCTGCCAATCCGACGGAAGCAGCTTGTCTCCTCGTCACGTGCACCCCCATTGCTCTGCGATTACGATACCTGATAATGATCCTATCTTCAGCAAACATTATGTACGATGCATGAATTACGTGCGATCATTACCAACTATTAGATCCGAATGTACTTTTGGACCCGTGGAACAGGTAAGAAAAATTCTATACGATTCTTGATATTAAAGTTTAGCAGAGGTCTTATCAATGACTTTTTTAACAGATGAATCAGGTGAGCCACTTTTTGGATGGCTCGACGATCTACGGTTCCACTTTAAACAAGGCTCGTGAACTCCGTGAGTTCGAAGGCGGCCGTTTACAAGTACACAGGGTAAATAATTACGAGTTTCTGCCTATCGGCGGTGTCGAATTATCGTCCAGATGCACGGAAGGCTGCTATAATTCTGGTACTTATTCAATTTATCATAAAAAATGTCTGCTTATTTCAATCTTAAGAGATTGTTGTTTTCCATTTCAAAAATACTCTCTTCTCTCCCATAAATCATTTCAATCTTTCATTACAGGTGATTTCCGAGTGAACGCTCACCCGCAGGTGGCTGTGATGCATACTGTCTGGCTTCGAGAGCACAACAGGATCGCGAACAAGCTTGCTGAATTGAATCCCGACTGGTCGGACGAGATATTGTATCAAGAAGCCAGGCGAATAGTAACTGCTGAAATCCAGCATATTACGTATAAAGAATGGCTGCCCATATTATTGGGTAAGAGATATACTAGAGTCGTCGGGCTCAACGTGGGTTCTAGTTACAGTCGTAACTATAACTCCGAAGATGATCCAGCGGTGAGCAACGAGGTCGCAACTGCGGCACTTCGCTTTTTGATCTCGTTGATGCAAGCAAAAATTAGGTAATTTATATTTTTCGTCTTTTAGCGGCATTGATAATTCACGATTAAATTTCTGTAAATCTCAATCAACAATTGGACTATTTTTTTAATTAAGGACGACTACGACGATTATTTCACGAATTCATGCTCGATTTTAATATTGCAGCTTGACGGACAACAATCGCATTGTGAACAGAACACTCTCGTTAGCGGCGTACTTCTTTAAACCGAAAATAATCGCGTCTAACGACATATTCGATGGCCTATTACGTGGCATGGCTACTCAAACCAGTCAAAAAATGGACAGCAGCATCATCGAAGATGTAATTATCTAACTTTGATTCCAATTTAATGTTCTGATTAATATTTAATTATATTAACAGCGATTTATAAATGACTTATGTCGCACAGATTACGAGCAAATTGTACGCAACTGATGCAGACAGCCTGGGCTTGGATTCTGTTAGTTTGGACATTCAGCGCGGTCGTGATCACGGTTTACCTGGTTACAATTATTATCGCAAATACTGCGGTCTCAATTCTGCGAAGAATTTCGATGATTTCTTAGATTACATTCCGAAAGAGGTGAGCGCTTGAATCAATATGGGAATTTTTACGATTTCTAATTCATAACTGCAAGTTACTTTACAAAGTAAAGTAAATGTGAAGAATACAAAAATAGCGTCCGAGGCTTAAAGCGATTAAAAATTGCAACTATTGCCTATGATTCCCAGGAATATCGGTAAGTTCCTGGATTCACGACCTCATGAAAGTGAAAGTTGCGATATCTCTCGTTGAATATAGTCACAATATAAACCTGTGTATGTGAGCCTCGGACGCAAATTTTTATTTTTGATGTTTGTCCTTCTTTTGCTGTTAAAATCATCTCAAAATATTTCGCACCAATAGCCGTATTAAATTCACATCACATAATAAATATTTTTCTTTTTATAAATAGACCATAACTAAATTGCGTTCGCTTTACGCTCACCCGGATGACGTTGATCTACTTGTGGGTGGCATGGCCGAAAGAGCAACAGAGGATGGATTGCTGGGACCAACCTTCCGCTGCCTGATCTTCGAACAGTTCTTCCGAGCTCGTCGCGCAGACAGATACTTCTATGATTCTGCCTCTCAGCCACATCCTTTCAAACCTGGTAAAGAAAATTAATAAAATCACTTCGACAATTGTAATACGATGTGCATAAAATCATATAATAACTTCTGCTCGATTTTCTTATAACAGAGCAATTGTCGCAAATACGAAACGCGACGTTATCGCGAGTGTTCTGTGATAACGGAAACGATATCACGTACATGCAACCAAACGCATTCCTCAAACCACAAGCTGGGTAAGTTTTATAACAATATTGTTCATTGACTCGACCTCAATATACCTATCGCTTGATACAAGAAATAAAAACAGATGAAGGACTGATTTAAACAAGAAACTCAAATTGAAAATGTATTATTTTTAGGAATGAGCTGACGTCGTGTACAGACTTCGAAGCGATACCCAGCGTGGATTTATTCGCCTGGGCGGAAAGAGCGAAGGCCTACCGTTGAGCGTCCCCGTTAATTGGCTGGTCACATTGCCGCATCGTTTAGCCCGAGTTGCAGGAACGGGCATGAGAGCAGGAGCTTCGGGTCACTGATAGAAAGGGAACACAGTGATCTAATATCGAACTCGGAATCTCGTCGCGATGCCACGCGATCGAGGTCGAAAAAAGTTGAACAGGAGCTGCATCATGCAGCAACACTATGAACGGGCACGATGGAGGAGAACAAAACAACTCGATACGGATGCACAACTCGGAAAATAATCGAACAAAAAACAGACAATGAGGTGCATCGAATACCAACGTGACTAGTCGATTAACCGAGCGCGCTAAAAAGGGAGCGCTACGGCACGGGGATGAAAGATGGCGAATTATTGTTCGAAGGGTGAAAATCACTTCGGAGATTCGCTTATGTCCTATGGAGAGCCTTTTCTTTAAAAGGAGTTTAATACGCGAGAGCCTGGACGTCGTAGATACGCTGATTCTTTTTAATCCTACGCTTAGAGTATGTTTATTTGTTGTGAAAGTATTCACAAAATCATGTTGCTCTCGATGAACGACATTATGTTATTTACTGATCTACGTCGTTTCATTTTTACTTATTTTCTTCGTAGGAGAGAGGCTTGCTTTCTATTCACTTTTATTTTTCTTTTTCTCTTTTCCTGCTCATTCACTGCGGGAAATTATTTTTCGAAATACAGAGCCGCATGATATTTTGGATGCTCCGTATAGTATGCAGCAAATGTGTGAGTGAGAGTTTTCGTATATACTCAATTTCAATTCATCGTGGTATGGAATATAATTTTATTTTGCATTGCAAATTGCATATCTGCGCACGTGAGCTTCGAACAAGTTCATATAATTCGATATTTTCAGTACGGTATGGAAAACATTTATTTTTGTTAATAATCTACGATGGATTGAAATAATAGATTTAGGTCTCGACTTTATCAAATGAGAAACAAATATTTTCGAATGGAATTTAAAGAAACTACATTCAAGAAGAAAGACGAGGAGGCGAAAGATAGTAAACACAATGGTAAATGTTCATTTCGTTAGGAACGAGCAATAAAATATTAAATGATATTTTAAGAGAATCTGAATAACTTCTGAACAATGTAATGAAAAAGTTAGATCTTTGAACGCATGTAACAGAAGAAGTACGTTACGATCAAGGATATAATTGTTTCATGCTTTTGACAAGTAGCAATACATTTGTCGAAACTTTTTATAATTGTAAACGAGTAAAAATTCATTATGAATTTCAATAACTATACGACTTAGAAGGCTGTAGAATATTTTTAAGGACACGTGTGATTAATGAGACGAGAACTAACTAATTAAGTTCCGTAATGAGTACGAATATGAATACATTCTTGAAAAATTGAATAACTGAGTTTCAGTCTTACATTCAGCATTCTCTTGAAATTTAAAATGCATAGATCAATAAGTGATACCGCGGTCAAGGGTTGATGTGGGGATGACCATGCGCAATCCGCGGTCCACAGATGAAGTAAGAATGAAGATGTGCGATGCGCAATCGAGGGGTGAGATAGGGATGAAGCTGGATAGCGTTGTCACGTTTATTTTCGGCCTGTAGCATATATTTCTTACTTTTGTGCTTCCGTTAGATATTATACGTAAAATGAGCGAAATTTATACTCTCGACTCAACGACGGATAAACGACCCGAGGACATCCGGTCAACGCACAGACTAGCGGCCAAAAGAAAATGATTACAGCACCTGTTTCATTGGGTTTCAAATTTATGCGCATTTGCTTTCTGTAATTCGTATTCATTCACTATAATCAATTCTTGTTACATTCAATCAATCAATCAATCAATTAACTATTGAACATTCGAACAAAACTCTGCTCAACGTTTAAGTTCTGTCTTTTACACGATCATTGGAGTACCGTTTAGGAGTACATGGAGTATGACTGATTAGTTTTTAAGGAAGAATGTAATATTGTTGAACATTTTTTTATACGTGATTAGAATTTACTTGTACTTATCGCGTTCAACACGACTGAAGCTTTTATTTTAACTAGGATTAATCGTGTCACGCGCATTTCATGAATAAACGAAATGTTACCAATAGTATGTTTATCTATTACCTTACACATGTTTCACTCCCAACTACTTCCTTCGTGATTAAACAGAAGTTCTCGAATTGCATTTCTGCTGTCCTAAATTTTAACTGACACTATGATTACTGCGTCTATCAACAGTTAGTGGTATAATTATACGTTACTCATATACTCTTCAGACTTTCTCTCAATGCCACCTTTGCTCTCTTTTTGATCGCACATTCCGTTACTTGGGTTTATTGCAAACGCAGACTGACTTTCCACGATGTGCTGGCGTTAAGAAAAGTTTGATTACCCGTGCAACTTACCGTCTTAATTTGTTTGAATTTATTTTGTTTAAAATTGGAAACCCTCAATAAATTCTGGTGAACCGGTAAGAATACCTAAGCACCTAATGCAAGACTTCGTCTACAGAACACGTGCCTTGTACGGGAGCATATGAGCGCACTAAATGTCAACTCGGTTGTTTACGAAATTCAATGTAAGGGCAGAGTGATCATGACTCGAATTAGATACCGATTCCACGGTAAAACAAGTTTCACGCATAAGAATCTATTCCTTAATAATGATTCTGAGGTAACGTTCCACGTTTTTATAACGGTTTCGTAATAAATAATTTCGCGGAAGGTCCCATTCGCGTAAGAATTCTTTTTCTTAGTATCAACCTTGAGTCCAGATAAACTGAACACCTTTTTAAAGAAATCGCTCTTCGTGACAAATTTCTTGAAAGAGATTGCTTAACGAGAATGAAAGTGATTCGTCAAAAGTTTGACGATCAAAATTAATGTGTTCATAAATAACTGCAATCAAAGAATTACACTACTCAACAAAATTACAGCATCACGAAAGTACCAAAATTTCAGAGATGATTACCCAGAAATAAATCATCGTAGGATGATTAGTTCATTTCTTAGGATTGACACGAGACGATGAGAGATGGTCTATGCACGATTCCCTCGCATTACTTATGCGAGAGCAATGACTCATCGAAAGGACAGACTGGTATAGTAGAATGCACGCCGGAGCGTGGAAAACGGTGCACGCTTCATTTACTCGTGTCGTCACGATACAATCGGCCAAAACCGAGGCATCGACACGGTACGGCTCGACGCGATTTCGTGAGAATACCGTTCGAACGATTGTTCTTACACGCGAAGGGCGTACTTCCCTTACGTAACCCGCTCTCACACATGCTGCCAGGAAACGTTTGATCGGGCGATGATTGTCGTTAATTCGATACAATTTCTCCCACGTTGTGCGATAAACATTATTATGATGCAAGGATGGCGTCGTGGAAAATCGTGCGACCGATCATGAATCTGATGAATTGATTTCTTTACGGCCCCTCAGTAGGGTAACTTCACAATTAATCATTAACATTATTATATCGTAAATCAGCTTAATTTCATCATTCGTTTCGCCGAGTGATTTATTCTTTCGTTTAGCAATTTTTAATTGAATATCATTCATCAACTCAATTTCATGGAATGCTTAAGATTTCAACGTGAAATCTAATTCTTGCGGACCTGTAACACGATCGTTTACATTACGCTTGTCAGATAGTCATCAGAAACCAGAACTGTTTCGACCGCGTTACGACCGTAGAAAATTGGGTATGAAATATTGCATCCTGTGTTTCTTAATCTGAGAAAATTCGATGTAAGTTTCGTTACTAATCTACCTTTTATTTGTCACGGTTCTAGCGCAATTTGTACCGTAAATGTGACACTTGTAACGTTCACTACTGAAGGACGCAATATTCATCCTTGCGATTCCTCGAAGTAAAATAAAGACTTTCGATTCTACTATCTTATCGCATCATCATAGAAATTACTTACAAATGCACTTAATTTAATCTCCATTTATTAATTATTGGTCAATCTTGATGCTCAGGCGAATAACATTTTACAATCCAAGAGAATCTAATAAAATTCGCTGTCTGTGTGTAGACCTACGATATACGTAACTCACATTTGTTATATAATTATTAACATTTAATTAAGATTACAATCACTAGCCACTGTGCAGCATTTTAGTGTGAATCTAACGAAACAATCGTTACTTTAGCATATGATCATCAGCATAGAAACGCGTTAACTGCTGTAATTAAACCGTGTACTAAGTGCAATATTTCAAACTAAAAACGCAATTGAATTGATATAAGAAATATGAAGAGAATTATGCAGACGGTTCTTAGTCTTCCTTATAAAGTCTTCACATTCTGAGACTGTAATCACATCATAAAGCTACAATATTAATTAAATTTTTGTAATCCTTAATTATTAAAGCAAAAATAGCTTTCGTATCAAGAATGAGTCTTGAGATGACTCTCTCCCAGCATTGATGGCAATAATGCAAATTTAATTACAACACGCATCAGAATATAACAAGCGTATGAATCTTACATCATAGAATTTACATTTTAAATGCTTCTTTTGCTTACTTTTTACTAACACTTCAATCGTAGTGATATAATTGAGCACCCATCACTGTTAATAAGTTTCCATCAAGAGCGATGTTCTTGGAATTTTCATAGAATCTATGTAGTGCCCCGTGCGAATGGATGTTTATCTCTAGATAGAACTGTATGATGAGATTCTCTTCTTGGATATCTTCGATTTCTCTGGTATTAGTAATTCGCATTTTAATATGAGAAAAACGTAACATGAGGATATAGCAAAACCTGTTTTCAGTAGATATCGTTCCAAACGTATAACTAAACCAGAAGATTAAAAATCAAAATATATAACAATTAAGAATGTAATAAAGAATGTTGTACAGCCTAGCTTTTACCCTAAGTTATACACAATTGATGGAAAATGACGGGCAAGAATTGTATCGATTGCACTTTCAAGGATACATCGTTCAGCTCATCGGCAGCTTATTTCCAATTTAAACTACGTGCACTGATAACACAATCTTGAGACAGTCTATTGCACCTACGCATGTCTTTACAGCGGAATTATAGTTAATAAAGAAAAAAATCGTGGCGATAGAGCAAGAGCGCAAGAGACTGAAGAGACCGTCTACTGAATCTACTCCTTTCTAAAACCGGGCGTCTGGTAACCATTGGACTGAACGTTAAAAATCGTCGAGACCAAGAGAGCTTTTGACAGCAGCGTGGGGTTGGCCTGCCGATCTGCGATCGTACACTTGCACTTTCTCCCACCAATTATAAAGTTCGACTCGTATCTCGCACTCGTTCAGTCGTACCGCCAGCACGTGTTTGGAATATTGTCCAGCAGGACTTAATCGGGTGTCAAGTGAAGTTTTCTGTTACCTTTTTGTGCGACGATCATCCCGGGTTAATAGAACAGATAACACATCCGGTGGGTCCGAGATTTTGTTTTCCACGTCAACATGTTCGTACCAATTGTATGAATTAATGAGAGCCTGAGCTTTATTAATTGAATGAAATTTATCATTCTGTGACTCGAGTGGAAGTGTGATAGAATTAAAAGTCTTGCCATTTTTGATATGCGTTAATTTTTGTCAAAATAAAAAAATAGATTTTGAGGATAAAATGTTTTAGTCTCTCACTAATACCGTTTGACATTTAGAAGTTACATCGCAGCACAAAATTTTATGTAATATGATGAATACGATTCAGAGGATGATAATCTTCTTAGATCGAATTGAGGTGACTGGGAAAATCGCGATTTACTTTCTAATATGATTTATTTTACTCTATTTCTTATAAGTGACCATGTGACGAAATTAATTAAATCCCAATTGCATAGATAAATTAGGTGTCAATGAGAATCAAACCAAAATTAAGATACAACTTTTTGTCGTAATTAATTATATCCATTACCACATAGATCGAAAACATGTTTTGTACTTGCATTCTCATTAGGCAAATGCTATGCAAAAACAGTCGCCGATTCAAGTGTACCGGGAAAAACGCCTTGGACTTGCCATTTAAGAGCTACCGTGTGAAGATTCTGACAATTAAAGGTTAAACAATGCTTAACTATGAACCACGAGTGCATTCCACTTGACAACATTAATTACTTAGCTGGATGCTTGAATCTCTTTAATGATTGAATAAATATTTTCCTTCGTTCTTTGAAAATCAAGCGGGAATAGAAAACAATTTTGAAAAACATGACGACTGTAACTAAGAATGCATAACAATTGTTCTCAGAAATGAAAGATTTTTAAGTACACTCTATAGCGCATGTATCTTTCGTTTATAAGATGAACGCAGAAAATACCCATCCCCAGTTACTCATTTAACTTCGAGCGAACCCATTTTAACTAAATTGTCCAGTCTTCAAAGTAAACGAAAGGTAATACTTCGCCCCGCAGATTTTAAGTGCTTATTCCGTTGAGTTTAAATGGGTTACATTACGTGTGCGTCCGTCGGAACAATTTCCGTAAAAAGACAGGAGGATATTAGACTCGCAATTAAACTCGTGCACGTCCGCAATTTGTTTTTCCATCACGCTCGCGAATTATGCTCGTTTCCCTTTGATCCCATCGGCATTAGAAAAATCAACTGATCCACGTCCTTAATTCAATATTTGATACAACGTTGCATTACAGTTGATGCTAACGAAGATATTCCCAAGTCTGCTTAAATCCCTTTTCAAATCAACGAGTAAATTCATTATTTATTACTCCTTAGACTTAGGCTTTCCGCGAGCTCGTAATAAATGTACGAAATCCAATTTTATCTCTGGTAAAGATAAATATATGATAAATATATATATAATGTAAAGATAAATAGGGTATAATATATAAGGTAAAGATAAATATATAGACGATACATGGTTATATCAGTATTAAAAGTAGTCCTCGAGATTCCTTTCTATCTTCATACACGTTGTCTGACATGCAAACGTAGAAACTTTCCGCTGGATCAGTCAGTCTTAATTTATGGTGAGCCGTATAATATATTTGAAAACACGTGCATGCGTGTTAACACTAATGAACACTAATGGGACTTTAAAATTAATTAATATCGCACGTTATAATTAATACTAGACGCGTGTGTTAATTAAAATACACTCGATCTATCGAGAGGTACACAGCGGTTAGTAGACGTTGCAGATAATTATTACGTATTAGAAATTTATATCTCATGTAATTATGGACGAAGAGGATTTGTAAAATATTTGAACATACAGACTGGCGATTCTGTTCCCTGTCGAAGAATATCAATCTCGTTTCTGACAACAGAAAACCCACCGAGTTTGTCCAATTGTCCAAACCAATCGATCATTAAAACTTAACCCATAGAGCACAAAACCGAAGTCATGTACGCTGTTTAATTATTGGATAATTATTGGATTCAATCAGTAATTATTTTACCACAACCGGCACGCATACTCTCGTGAATTGGCTTACAATCGAAACACTTGTTTGCAATAAACAAAAAAGATGAATCTTCACCATTAAAAATTGCAATTACATAACGCATACTCTTGCGAAGTATGTTCTAATCAAGACACTGGTTTGAAAACTAAGCCGAAAAGATGGAACCCTGTTACTCGCTTTCAACGAAACAGATAATTGACTTGCCGTTAGAAGTTGCAATTGCACAATGACAGCTACGGACAAGTGTCGACGAGTACTGAATAGCTATAGTACCTGATGCAACGACCAATTACAATACCATAAATTGAACGAGGAAATCCTCGGACTTCATAATAGATCGATTGCATTAAGAAAAACAGTGTTTAATTGCTCGACGGGCAAAAAGCTGTCACCATTTCCCGTGAAATGTCATTCATGGGCTTCCACGGGAAATAAAGGAAAATTATGCGACGATTTCAAACCTGATCTCAATTTCCAGGAGTAACGATCGATTTCATGCAGTGGCACCAGTTTTCTGTAAGAAATCGTCAAGATACCACTTAAAGAATGTCAACTCTTTTTGCGTGATTCCAGGTGTATATGTAACACGTTTCAATAATGTAACACTGACAAAACAATTCCTTCCGCAACGATTTTAAGCGTCGATAAGACAGTGAAATTTTTTGCAAAATGATCGAACTAGAGATTAATTGATAATTATAAAAACTTTTAGCTACTAGGTAATTTCTTTAAACACTGTCTTCTTCGAGTCATTTCGTGTCTTATCAAAATTGATACAAGATTAACTTAATTTAGTAATGAAATAGTGTTAAGCAGTTGATTGGTATCGATATTCGCATATAATGCAATTAAAAAATTGATTTAAACGGACAGGAGAAGACTTAATTAATGAAAGGGTGAGACTGAAAAATGCTTGAACGGATATTGCCGTATCCGTGAAAAGATTCCTGATCGAGAAATTACTCGTGATAGTGATAATGAACGGTAAAATTGTGGTAACCTTCACAGAAGCCATGGAATTGTGTAATTGTGCAATTACACTGCAAGTACGCTGCACAATCTTTGCGTTCTTTAATTAGCGCGTGAAAACACGTGACGGAACTTCCTTGCGGAAAAGTTAAAGAGAGTGCAACCTTCCTGTTCGAACCTCGTGGGAATTAAAGCGATCATGATCGTGTCACGCAAGCTTGTTAATGATACGATGATTGTTGAAGCATTTAATTGGTTTAACTTTCTTGAGGAAGCCATTTTCATGGTTAAAGTATGACAAATTGGTATCTATCATTTTATCTGAATACAATCTGATTCAAATTAGTGTTAAAAATTCGTCAATGGTATTAAGTATTAGAATTAAGTTTCTGTTTTTGAGACATTGGAGTTTCTGTTGATAAAAATAGTAAGGCACAAATCAACCGCAGTAATTTAACGTGACTGGCGTGATACAAATTGCCCCGTTACAATTACCTTCTCCGTTTATCTCCGTTCATCAACCACGAGTGAGATTGACGAACGAACTGATTGGGTCCCATGAATGGAAAACAGGTTTCTCTTTGGAGTTGCCGAAACGGTATCACAGTATAAGAAAGAACAGTAGGTTTACTCTGTCAAAAAACGTACTAGTAATTGGCTCTTGCACATGACAAAATCGCACAACTAACAACAACGAAGAAAAAGTTTTTGCAATAAACAATTTCATTTATCAATTAATTACTGATGTTAGCGAAAAAATTTTTATACGAAAATTGTAGGCATTAACGTCTTCTACAAGAAAGGTCGTATGCAATTTTCTTGGATCTCTCAAACTGTCTCATTTATAATCTGTCCTAAATCACACTGGACAGATATACCGTATGAATTATAATTCTTCGACTAGAAAATGCTCGTGTAAATAGCGACTATTTCCTGGTACTAGAATGTAAACGAAGATGATTTTATCAATGAAGAACGCTGGTAATAGAATCATTAGCGATTAAAAAAAATTTCATTAATGAAGCATTACATTATGCATCAACATGCGTGCAATAAAAACAATTTCATAAAGGCTAATTAAATGATTTCTACCTTTTTTCACTTTGGAAAGCATGTCCCAATATTTGGTTCGTTAGATACACAGCTTTTTTATTCGGCTTTGTGCGGACGGGCGGAGGTTTCATCAAAAGACATGCAACCGGAAGGCGCTCACGCGCCAATGCATTGCATGTTATACATGAATTACGATTTACCGAGTTTCTCGAATGCGATTAATGCAAAGCTCCCGAGCTGCGTAATCTTACATTTCGACAGATAGACCGATATCCAATGTGAAATGCAAATAAATACTATGCAATTTAACATCCTGTTTGTTTTCAATATATTTGCGATAATTAATGACCGTCGTTCATTCAGTTTTGACGAGTCGGATATTTCACACGTGAAACTTAATTGCCAGAATATCAGAAAATTCATGAGATACACTTTTTTAATTTTTATATATTATTTTTTGCAAAAGTTTAAATATTTACAAATATGTAATAACTTATAAAATAATTAAACGTAAGGAAAATATTCACGTCTGCACGTAGCATAAGCACATTGTTAGATTAAGTGGTGCGGCGCGCGATGACGGCAGACGCGCGCAGTGGAATAGCCCGTTCATGGCCAGACAAAGCTCATCACTCTCTGTCAGTGAATATTGAAGAGAAATTATCTAAGTAACGAATGGTTAATATTCAATCGTGCTTCTCGGTAGTTAATATACTCGAAAAATGACTTGAAAATATCTAAGTTCATTTCTTACATGAAAATACAATATTGACTTTATTAAATCTCTCAGTCTCATGAGATGTTGAAAATTTGATATCACAGGATTATGCAAACTAAGGTTTCAATTGATTTCAGAGAAATGAAGGACCGAATAGAATGGAAGATCGCCACTATGCTCCTTCTTGTTTTAATAATGCAAGAAGCGAGCATAGCGAACGGAAAGAATATTACATCTGCCGATGAGAAATCTACGAAAAGTGCAGGTAAAGATGAAATTGACCTACAAATATTTTTCTTAATAATAGGACTTTTTTTTCTTGGTCTTACATTCTCTGCTGAAAAATGAGAACGAAGTAGAAGGGAGAAACCTTTCTTGTGCAACTGCAACTAACAATAAGTCACAACAAATTCCACGATATTTTACCACAATTTTCCACGGCTTTTTTAACCATTTATTCATAGCACGTTAAATGACCGGAATTTCCATAATTACCACAGCGTTGAAAGAAATTGGACACGAATACCAGGTGTATCTAATCACCTATAGTGTTTATACTCTCAAATATAAAAACGACAAGAACTGTTACTCGTTATACGGGAATTAAGTACCCATGAATTTCATGTTTTGGAGATTACAGTGTCTCTTATAATGTCAGATCGTGGTTTCACATATACGTATTATCCAGAAGAACTCCTCGTTTCTCATTTCTTCAGCAGTGCTTTAATCACGGACAATTTCACTGTTAAGAGTCTATTAAATACGAGAACTAATCATCCGCGAATTTTTCAAATTCCCGATCGCGTTTCTCTCCTGGGGCACTTCTTTTCTCCCAGCCCATTCTCTTATTAAAAAGACAGGTGACCTATCCGCGAAAAATCGAGCTAAAAAACGAAATAGTTGCACGTGTTTCTTCGAGGTGTCGAACGTTTTGCTGTGCATCGTTTCCGCTTTCGCGAACAGCAATTAAAGCGTTAACAATCAAGGCGAGGGGCAGAAACGCTGCGTGAAAGAAACTGGAGCGACGGGCACCTTGTGCAACGAACAAGCAGCAGTTAATGGCGAGGCAAGAAAACGTTCGGTTCGCGAGATAGAAAACGTTTGCATGTTGCATAGCGCACCGGAATTTTAGTTGCGCTTGTCGAGGACGTTCCGCGTTCGGGTATAGGTAATACGTTTCAATTCGAGATCGTTAACGCTGTTAGGTTCAATATCACGTGCACTGTTGGCTCACTATTAGAACTTCTGATGCAACGATATAATTTTACATGGAATCATCAAATACGAGAATACAATATCGATCCATTATTTGTTTAATTAAAATGCGTTAACAAGCGCACGAAATCGCGGGTCACAAATCAAATTTGTACCCGGGGACACGCGCTGGTGTCGTGTAGCTTCCACGGGAACGAGCACATTAAATAGCGGCGCGCGTAAGCAATTTGGCTGGCCTCCAGACTCGATAGCACCCCGACAGCGTTGATTGAAATTCAAATTCGGCCAAGAGTTTACCACCGCCCCCGTGGTAGCTACGGTGAAGGCAGTCAGAGGCATGTATAAGTACCGTTCGTTTTACCCAGTTGGCCGCGGTCGCATCGATAAGATCTGTCTCTCTATGTCTCGTACAGCATTTATCGTTCTGGTTGAAAGCAGTGAAAGGCATCGGCTCGAACGAGCATGTTTCACGATCTATTACGTCGACATTGGATCCCTACGATTATCCAGTGCTTGGCAACTCTCATGGAGTTATACGGGGTGTATATTATATTATAGAGATACACGCCTTCATGAGAGTAACGAGTAACTCACTAACGCCTCTCATTTCTGCCTGTCATTCTCTTTGTATTGAATTTTTCTATTCTAATTCCTATCGATCACAACGAATATTCAATCAGCTGCTTTCTTGCAATAATCGGAGGACTTTAAAAATGTGTACCCCACGATAGATTAACATTCTCGCTCCTACTAATGAACTATTCGCTCACAAGTGGTACGGAACGAAACCCAAGCCAATCGAAGTATCACCATGGTAGATCTGATCTTTAAAATATCTAAGCAATAAACTTGATGTAGAAAAAAAAAAGAATACACATAGATACCTATCTTTGAAAAGCTTGTCAGGTATCTCTCGTGGGAAACCCGTAACGTCCTTCTGCCAACATGCAAGAACTACAATAGCACGGAACGGTATAGGTTTCCCTTTCGTCCTGATTAGTACAGTCGTGCATTTACGCACCAGCTACCGCAGTTCCGGGTAAACCAGCTGAGAAACGAGTAACCGGGATGAAACGCATGATTGAATTTCAGCACGTGGTCTTAAATCCACATACGTAAATGTAGCAATTGTAGAATTAATTTACAGTGTTATTCTCGGACCCAGTTTGAATTTGGCACACCTTCCGTTTATAGATTTACTTTAACAATTCATGAGTTGACCGTGGATTTTATGCATTTATGAAAAAGATTGAACGTGCAGCAACTAAATAATTAATATNCTACACCGTTTTCTATAAATTAAATAAAATAGAGTTGAAGGTCGAATCAATTTGATTCCTGGATTGCTTAAGCACGCAAGATTAGCAATCGCACTGATTTGACATTTCGATCTTTTACATCCTCTTGCTTAAGTAGTGAGTCAGAGAATATCGTTTTCCTTAACAGTAGTTTTCCTTCCGGTAATGTAATAAACCACCGATTACTCATCAAAACTGGAATATATTAAGATTACTATTTCGTACACAAATAATAATCGACCAAATCTACTAAAGTTAGACGTTACGCGATAATTAAGGATGTATTGGCTATACAGTCAATCCCAAAAGTTTATGCACTTTAGAAACGCATTTTTTAAAAAGAAATCAGACGTCGGAAGAACATTGCTAAAAATAAACAACAAA